TCCTGGGATTTGTAGATTTGAAGTCACATGCTCTCAGCCTCACAGGATGGCCAGGGCAAACTCCCTTTGAAGAAACTTGCTAAGAAAAACCTGTGATCAGCTTGCCTTTGGGGTTGATATAAGTCAGAAATGATTTAAAGGCACACAATGCACACACGCAGAGTATTGCAGAGCCAGCCTGGCGTAGTAGTTTGAGCATTGAACTTTGGAGATCAGGGTTCAAATCCCAACTAGCCATGGAAGCCCACTGGGTAACCTTGGGCAGGTCACACTCTCTTAGCCTCAGATAATCATAGAATCATAGAATCATAGAATTATAGAGTTGGAAGAGACCACAAGGGCCATCCAGTCCAACCCTCTGCCATACAGGAACTCCCAATTAAAGCATCCCAGACAGATGGCCATCCAGCCTCTGTTTAAAGACCTCCAAGGAAGGAGACTCCACCACACTCTGAGGATGGCAATGACAAACCTCCTCTAAATAAATCTTGCAAAAAACAAAAACAAAACTGTGACAGGTTACCTTAGGGTTGCCATAAGTCGGGAGTGACTTGAAGGCACAGAACAACAACAATAACAGTACCTCAGAGTAAATTCAAAGGACCACTCTGGACTACAGATCCCAAAATTCCCTAGGATGGAGTTAAGGCAGTTGAAATGGCATGAAGCTTCAGTAGTGGATACACCGATGGTTAGCCCGAGTTGGGAACTGGGGCAGTAGGATCCCACAGACAGAGAGCTGACCACGAACTGGGATGATTTCAAATGTCATTGAAAGGGAAGCAAAATAGCTTAGTTATTTATTTTGTGCTTTCACTGCCAAGGGTCGAGCAAAAGAGGTGCTTGTGGGATTTTCCGTTCCCCTGCCAAAATAACTTGGCTGGCTTTTTGGATCCTGTACCAGAGGTGGGGTGGAGGAGGAAGAGAGTCATGTATGTAGTGGGTGCCACTTTGGGTTGAAAACCTGTTGGAGCCAACCTCTGAATAGGAGGTCCTATGATATTATTTAAATTTAAAACAACAGATTGAAAACAACATATAAAAACCAGAGTAAACTGCAAATAAAAATGTACTGCACCAAGCTACTATAGGAGTAATTTAAGCACTATCTTCAAATTTTCCTTCTGAGTATAAATTATTGAGACCATCCATAAATAAACTTAAAAATGGATTTTCCCCCAAACTTCAAAAGCTCGGAAGAAGGACCGTGTGGAGAGAATTCTGTTCCAGCAATAAATGTTTGGCGTGTATGCCTTCAAGTCGTTTGGACTTATAGCAACCCTAAGGTTTTCATGGCAAGGTTTATTCAGAGGGGATTTGCCCTTGCCTTCCTTTGAGGCTGAGAGAGTGTGACTTACCAAAGGTCACCCTGTGGGTTTTCGTGGTTGAGCAGGGATTCGAACCCTGCTCTCCTCTCCAACACCCAAACTACTCCACCATGCTAATATATCAATAGATTTGTCACGGCAATTATTTTCCCATGGATTTGGTATGTTTAGGTGTAGGACTACAACTCCCCCAGTCTGGTCTCAGCCTCCATATCTCTCCCCCGACTCAAACTACCAAGCTAATGCACAAAGGTTTTGACGAAGGACATGTCCTACATTTCAACCTTCTGTCCTGGAGGAATTCCAAACTGTCCTCTATTTTGTGCATGACTGAGAAGCATGAATTTACATTTATATGCGTGTTTTTAGCTTTTATTTGGTCATGTCCTGCATTTTTCTTGAATGTCCAAGATTTTGTGGTGCCTTGCCCTCTTTTGCGGTTAGGACATTGGGTCCCCCCTGCTCACTACAAGCTTATCTTCTTCATTCCAGATGTGAACGAATGCCAAAAGAACCCCTGCCTCCATGCCCGGGGGTGCAAAAACCTTATCGGGAGCTATTTCTGCGATTGTCTGGACGGCTGGAAGGGACCAAACTGCAATATCCGTAAGGGATTCTGCAGGGGCATCATCGGGGTGTGTGTGCGAGGAATGGGGAATCACACTGGGTGACACTTCAGAAGGGGGATCAACATCTGGTGGGGTGGTCACTCAATGTCCGTCCCAAGAGTAGGGTTGCCATATGCATTGCTCACCAGAGCCCTATATTCACATGTGCCCTTTTCAGACGTGTATTTCACATTTGCACGAGGACCCATGAATCTCTGGGTGGGCCAGTCGGAATATGGCCACCGTTCATCCGTCTCCAAAGAGATGTATTGGGACTCCAGTTGCCAGAATCCCCTGATTACACCGAACAATGGGGAAACAGCTGAGTAGCGATGAAAAGGAGATTCTGCAGATGGGATCCCCAGGCCCATTTTTGTAGCCTCAAGGATAAATGGGTTTGCCCCAGAATGCCATCAGGGATTATGTGGGCATTTTTGCCACTTTTTTGGGAAGTGTTCTGGGCCATTTTATGCCCAGGAGAGGTCTGTTTTTAAAACAGGGAGGGAATAGGAACCTCACGGGAGTCTTCTTCAAGTAGCTCAAAAACTGCCTGACTTATCAGCTGCATTGATAAGTAACGCCTTCCATTCATTGAAATTAATTGGGATTTTACAGATAATATATTAAAACCCCCTTCTTTTTTACCTCTTCCTTCCTGAACAGGAGAAAACAAGTGCCAGATGCGATGTCATAACGGAGGAACTTGCCAGGTACATGTGTGTGAGTGAGTGATTATTTACAAAATCTAGAAATGGTTGTGCAAGGGTTGTCACCTTCAATCTGCCCCAGATTTCTGGGAGGTTTCTGACCTTGCTTAGCTTCCGGGATCAAACGGGATCTGGTGCCAACCCTTTCCAACATCCCTTCTCCGAAGCATCTTTGCTGCTCTCTGTGTAACTCACCAGTTCCCATCTTTTTGTCATTGTTCCTAACAGGTGAAAGGAGGCAGACCCGGCTGCGCCTGCCGAGCGGGATATACTGGCGCTGAGTGCGAGACAGCATTGAGCATCTGTGAGAGTGCCCCTTGCCTGCATGGAGGACAGTGCCAGGAGACAGAAAACAGGAGTTTCCTATGCAGCTGTCCTCCGGGTTTTAGTGGTACCCACTGCGAGGTAAAGGTGCCCCTGGGACCTGAGTATTTTTGGTGGGAGACGGGTAACACACTTGTCAAGGCATCATACACAGATCTTGGGTTTCCAAAAAGGATATCGACAAGGTGGAACATGCCCAAAGAAAGGTGACTAAGATTATCAAAGGTCTGGAGACCAAGCTTTATGAGGAATGATCAAGGGAACTGGGTGTGTTTAGTTCAGAGAAGAGAAGACTGAGACAGGAGATGGTAGAACCATCTTTAATGGACCTAGCTGGAGGTCGGTCATGGAGAAGATGGAGCCAACTTGGTTTCTGCTGCTCCAAAGACTAGAACACAAACCAGTGGGTTCAAATTAAAAGAAAAGAGATTCCACCTAAACATTAGAAATAACTTTTTTGCTTTAAGGGTTATTTGACAGTGGAATGGACTCTATTGAATGGTGGTGGTCTCTCTGTCTTTCATGGTCTTTAAACAGAGGATGGATGGGTATCTTTCAGGGATGCTGTAGTTGTGTATTGCTGCATGGCAAGAGGTTGGATTAGATGGCCTTTATGGCTCCTTCTTAAGTTTCTATGGTTCTATAAAAGCATCCTTTCCCAACCTGATGCCCTTTGGATGGGTTGGACTACAACTCCCATCAGTAGCCAGAACTGATGGCAGTTGTAGTCCAGAGGGTGTATATTTAAATCTTTGTGGTGTAAACCAACCTACCTTCCTTCCTTCAGTCACAGAATTGGCAAATTCTCAAAGTCTTCAGACAGGTGTGTGTGTGGGGGGGGGTGTCTTCCATGCCACATGTTGTCCTTTGCCCCTCTCCTTCACAACCAGAATAAGCTGAATACATTATGCCAAAGGCACACAAATACACTCACCTGGTATAATACAGATATTGCAGAGTGTTTTCCAATACAGGATGAGTCTCCTTTATCTGGAATTCTGATAGCTGAAATATTTAGCATCCAAAATTGTCCACATGGGTGGCTGAGATAGTGACAACTTTGCTTTCTTATGGCTCCCTGTACACTAACTTTGTTTGATGCACAAAATTATCTAAAATATTGTGTACAAAATTGCCTTCAGGCTATGTGTATAAGGTGTATACGAAACATAAAATTAATTTTGCATTTAGACTTGGGTCCCATTTCCAAGATATCTCATTATAAATATGCAAGTATTGCGTTTAGACTTGGGTCCCATCTCCAGGATTTTTTTAATGCAAATATTCCAAAATCTGAAAAAGTCCGAAATCCAAAACACTTCTGATCCCAACCATTTCAGATAAGGCAGAATCAAGTTGTAATGTAAAGGATGATAACGTTCCAGTAAAATTTCCATTCTGTATTTGACCCTTCTGGGCATAGTGAAGTCTTCACAAATGCTTCTGGTGATCTGGAATAGTTCTCACCACCCCACTGCAGCTGCCCCCTGGTTGTGGCTTCCATTTTAAGGGTCCTTCTCTTGGTTTGGCAGGTCTTTATGGATCTCTGCTCCCCAAATCCATGTCCCAAGGGGGCCAGCTGCCTAGGTGGAGAAGGCAGCTATGTCTGCTCCTGTCCTGAAGGGACCTCCTGCCAGAAAGTCCAAGAGACCTGCCTGGATGATGTGTGCCAAGGTAAGTGCCAGGAGCTGGGAACAGAGGCTGTGTTTGGACCTGAATTAAGATACTCTTGTGGTGGTATCTCAAAATTATGTCAATATTATTTTCTGTACAGAAAATGCTGTTTCCTATGATGGAATGCTGTTTCTTGTGCGCAAAATGCTGCTTCCTGTGAAAAATTCTGCAGTTGAAGACCTGTTCTGTGCAAAATTCGTGTTGTTGTTGTTGTCTGTCATCAAGTCATTTCCACCTTATGGCGATCTTAAGGCCGATCATGGTGTTTTCTTGGCAAGAGTTGTTCAGAGGTGGTTTGCCATTGCCTTCCCCTGAGACTGAGAGAGTGTGACTTGCCCAAGGTCACCCAGTGGGTTTCAGGGCCAAGCTGGGAATTGAACCCTGGTCTCTGGAGTTGTAGTCCAACACTCAAACCACTGTGCAACACTAGGTCAAAATTGGTATGTGGCGGTTTTGTTCAGAAAACTGCATTTTCTGTGCAAGAATACCACATGCGAAGTTTGTGCAGAGTAAGTCCTGACGTGCGAATAGGGTTACTTAATTCCTCGTTGCTTTCTCTGAGAAGAAAATGAGTGAAAAAGTACATCCCTACCACACACATATATATGAAGCTGCCTTCCTGCATGGATGACAAGGGTGACTGTGGCCCTCCAGGTGTTCTTGGACTGCATGTCTCAGCATGCTTTCCCATCGGTGATATTGACTAGGGCTGATGGGAGCTGCAGTCTAAAAACCTTTGGATTGACAGTGGTTTGAGTGTTGGACTATGACTCCAGAGATCAGGGTTTGAATCCCTGCTCGGCCATAAAACCCACTGGGTGACCTTGGGCAAGCCACACTCTCTCAGTCTCAGGGGAAGGCAATGGCAAACCTCCTCTGAACAAATCTTGCCAAGAAAACCCCCTGATAGGTTTAACTTAGGGTTGCCATAAGTCAAGAAACAATGTGAAGGCACACAACGACAAACAACAACCAGAAAAAAGACATTCATCCAAAAGAGTTAGATTTCTGCACACAGAAGCCTTCAAGTAGTGATTGTGCATGAAAACTCTATGCAAGTGGAAGTGATTTTGCATTAAGACTCCATCCAGAAATATGCAACTGGAAGTATATGTTATGTTGCTGGTTGCCTGGTTGTGTGACCAATAGTACCAGCTGAAGTTTCTTCTTTGGCACTGTTATTAAAGGCACAGGTGCCCTCTCCAGTTTTTAATTTGGCAACCTTATGAATGTTGGTTTGGAATTAGACCCCTCTCACCCTCCTCTCTCTTTTCTAGATGCCAGTAGCCCACTCCTCCTTTATGTGGTGCTGCCGCTGGCTCTCCTTCTGATCCTGGCAGCCCTCATTTCGGCACTAATGGCACTAAGGGGTCGCCATAAGTCCCGGGAGACACCAGCAGGACCTCAGGAACCTGCTGCCAACAATAGCCTTCTGCCCGACGCCGTTCATCTCATCCACAACATTACCCACGGCGATGTCGAGCAAGGACCGAGGGAGGATGGCATTGTGGTCAAGGCAGGGTTGCCCGCGGGCGGGCGCCTGTCTTGCGGGCAGCCAAAGACGGACATTTCCAACGAAGAAAGAGCCAAACTGAACCAACTCAACAGGGCTCCAGCTTTGGCACGGCCGTCGCTTTGACCTACTGAGAGAGAACGAAAAAGCAGAAGAGACACTGAATGGGATGTGAACTCTGTTGAGGAGTCCCTTGACACTGGGATATGGGGATGGAGAGCCCAGTCCCCCCCCCAAAAAAAGTATGGGGATAGAGCCCCAAAGCACCTTATTTTGACGTTTCTAGTTTTGTTTTGTTTTTCTTAAATGTACAAGGTCTGTTTCCACCTTGAAGGCATCTGCTGCCATTTTGCTCTGGAAGAGAATAACTAGTTTTGAGGTTTCTGGTCTGCTTTCCTTTCCCCTACTCTCCTTCCCCAAAATGGTATTCATCAGGGAACAGCGTTGTGGAGGACTGTGAAACGTGGTGTGTTACTAGATAGAACCCATACATCCAAAATGGATATATGTACAGGTTGGAGCATTGAGAGATCAGTTGGAGGAAATCTGGGGAAGTGCTTGTTCTTGTTGTCTTAACCCATTTTGGCCAAGGTGGAACATGAAAGCTAGGATGAGGAGTCACCCTTCCAAAAGTTTGAAAGGAAGGGCAAAATAACTTGAAGCAGAGTGTGTGATTTAAAAGAAATGGGGCATCGTCATCTGCCCACTGAATGGTTACTAAGCCTGGAAAGCTATACTTCTTGGGATACAAGGGGTAATACGGCTGGCTTTACCCACAGGAAGAATGAGGCTTAGGACATGTTTTAAGGAATTGTCCATTCTTCCATTCCGGAATGGAAGCTTCTTTGCTACAGGCAATACTGACATTCAGATTGCATTGAAAGTGGGGTGTGTTTTTTTTTAAAGGAGAAAGAGCTGCAAATACGTTTACATGCCGTCAACTGCCTAGCAATTTTTATTATCCTGCCAACCACCACAAAAATACCTGAATTAAAAAGAAAGAACTCTAGAACTCTTAGCAAAGCTTAGAAAAATGGCACAACTGATCTGGAATTGCAAATAATCTGGGGGATGTTTATTTTGTTGCTTTGCAGCAATTTGCAGAAAGCATTAAAAATAGGGTGGGAATCGTGTGGTTCACCGATTAAGTTTAGTGTGTCCATTTGTCTCCACCAGATATCCAAAAGCCAGGACTGGGGATCTGCTGGGATAAACAACTATGCCTTTTAAAATGCCTCAATGAGGCACCTGCTTCAGGCAGCAGATGCTGAGGGGGAGGTCAAGGGTAAGCAGGAAGGTGTTACGGGGCAGACTTTTGACTTGGAGCTGCTCCCAGGAAGGAAGAAGAGCTCTGTTCCCTCACCAGTGACAAAGTGAGATCCTTCTGTACATGGAAGGGGTGCCATCTTGTCTTTTGACTCAGACAGCAAAAAGTCTTGGGCAGCCCTCATGGGGGGATGCTTAAGTGCCTGTGTTACAGATCTATACATGTTGCCTTCAGTTTAGATGGAAGATTTTGCCTTCTGGGGATGCGTGACCAGGAACTACCAAGATGCTCAGAGATGTTACTTTTCTGGATCTCCAAGCCATACTAGTGGAATGCTGTTGGAGTGGGGAAGATGGGCGTTGTAATCTAAAAAGGACATTTTTCCAAGCTCTGGATGATGTTAAATTGAGATGCTATCAACCCTTTCCATAAGTGCTAATATGATTATCTGTCTGCTGGGTTGGTTCTTCTCTTTAACCAGGACTCTTCTGCTACATTTTGGGTGACAAAAAGCTTGCATTGTGCTCCAGAAACCTAGTCATTACTGGGGTTGTGTGCCCCTGAACTTTCTAAATCTATTGTGCCACTGATAGACCTCTCTTCTATGATCTCTAGAAAGAACCCATAAAGAGCTGGGAAAAGTTAACTTTTTGGGTTGACAGCTCCCAGAATCTGAAAATCCAATATATATCTCCCTTGGGAGACATCTAGCTTCTTGAGCAGTGGGACACTTGGGGTCTTAGCTGTCCATCTTAAGTCAAAATGGCAACTTAAAAACCACATATAATAACCTAAGACGTGTCTTAGAGAAGGTTCCATGATGCTAGTGGATATGGGAACCAGGAAAATTTAGAACCTGGGCTGGCAAATGATGACCCCCAACTGAAGGATCATCTGCCTTTCATATTCTGCTGGGCACCGTTTGTATTATTATTAACAGGATTCACACCACAATTCAAGAAGGAGTTTGAGAAGCTGGAGCGTGTCCAGAGGAAGGGGACCAAAACAGTGAAAGGTTTGGAAACCATAAAGCCCTATGTGGAGAGACTTAGGGAGCTGGGTAGGTTTAGCCTGGGGAAGAGAAGATTAAGGGGGGACAGGACGGGACATGATAGCCCTGTTTAAATATTTGAAGGGATGTCATATTGAGGATGGAGCAAGCTTGTTTTCTGCTGCTCCAGAGACTAGGACCCAGAGCAATGGATTAAAGCTACAGGGAAAGAGATTCCAGCTCAACATTAGGAAGATCTTCCTGAGGATAAGAGCTGTTCTACAATGGAATAAGCTGCCTTGGAGGGTGATGGAGTCTCTTTCTTTGGAGGTTTTTAAACAGAAGCTGGATGGCCCTCGGTTGGGAGTGCTTTGATGGTGTTTTCTTGCTTGGAAGAATAGGGTTGGATTGGATGGCCCTTGGGGTTTCTTCCAGCTCTACGATCCTATGAGTCTTGCAAACTCAGGACATCCATGGCTCCCTTGATTGACTCAGGATGTAGCCACACTGCAGAAATAAAGCAGTGTGACACCATTTTAACTGTCATGGCTCCATCCTGGCGTTTGTAATTTGGTGAGGTATTCAGGCTGGACTTTCAGAGTACTGTCTTCCCTCACCAAACTACAAATTTTGTAGGATTCTGTAGGATAGCATTGTGGCAGTTAAAGTGGTGCCAAACTGCTTTATTTTTGCAGTGTGGATACAGACTCAGTCCATCTATAATGGGGTATTCCTCTTTTCCTATTGCCTTCCGCTTTACTCTTTTCCAATGCATTGTGTTATCTCATGTGTCCAGAGTATGACAGCTGTTTTGGGTTCTAGTGACAGTCCAGGCTTACTGTGCTTTTGGACCAACTTATTTGTCTTATTGGCAGTCTGTAGCATCTGTGCAACTCTCCTCCAGCACCACATTTCACATGATTTGATGTTCTTCCTGCCAGTTTTCTTCAATACAGCTTGGGAATGTAATGCCAAGGTGGGAACAACCCATGACCTTCAATAAAAAAACAAACCCCATACATCCTACATGGATATGTGTACAGATTTGGAAGAGGGAACAGGGTAAAGACAATGGGAAGGATCTTCTTCCTATTCCCAGCTGGGGGCTGACTGAATGTATTTAAATTGTAAAATACTGTAAAAAATGTCTTTATAGCTTCTTTTGTTGTTGTTGATCTTCTGGATAGCCTATGATGATTCTTTTGTACTGGGGCGAGGTTGACGAACCACGAGTAAATACTTGGTTTGCCTCCATTTGGAGGTTGAGAGTGATGTCATTTTTAGGCCAGATGGGGACTTAAGCGTTCGGTTACTCCTACTTAAGGAATCTGGATTGTTGTTAGTTGCTTTCAAGTCATTTCTGACTTTGTTGTTGCTGTGAACAACTCTCGAGTTGACTCATGGAGACCCTGTGGATGAGACATCTCCAAGACTCCAATATTCTTCTAAGTCCTTGAAGATTCATACCTGTGGTCTCCTTAATAGAGTCCATCCATCTAGCATGTGGTCTTCCTCTCTTTCTACTTCCCTCCACCTTTCCCAACATTATTGTTGAGTCCTGCCTTCTCAAGATGTGGCCAACATACGACAGCCTCAGGTTAGTTAGTCATCTTTGCCTCCAGAGAAATTTCAGGCTTGATCTGTTCTAGGACCCATTTGTTT